GTGAAATCTTGTTGACACACACATAACCTCCGCTGCAGAGGTGATAAATAGCTCTATTAAAATGTTTTTCATTCATCTGCTATTAACACAGTCTTTGCTGCTAAGTTTTACATTGAACAAGGAAATTCTTGTAACGCTTGCATTTTACATTTTTATTATCTAAATTCCAAACTAACTGGTAAAGCCTAGTGGTTAGCATGCTGGGCTGCGGATCGAAGCGCCCATAGTTCGACACGTGATGCCGCTGAACACTCACTGTACTTGCATCTGTGAAGCGTTATAGAAGTCACAGGAAGTCAATCCTTTATTTGGCTCAAAGCCAGACAAAATCCTTATAGCGACCGGTGATGCTGGTGGCTGCCTTGTTGTCTGGTCAGTAATATGGAGAACATTAGATTCAGATGCCTCAATTTTTTTTTACAGTTTTCTAAAGTTCAAAATCATTTATGGCCCCCCGAAATATTTTCTAACCCTGTGAATATTTTCAGTTTATGAATTATTGCTTTTAAATTCTTATGTTTATGTATTGTACAGTTGACATGTATACTAGTGCGTGATAAGTAACTTTGTTTGCATCGTTTATTTTGGCGGATCCCTTTTTTTTTTTTAATTACATGGCGGGTGGTTAGGGTGCTCGACTCGCAATCTGCGAATCAGGGGATCGAATCCCGCCACCGAACATGCTCGTTTTTTTCAGCTGTGGGCGCGTAATAATGTGACGGCCAATCCCACTATTCGTTGGTAATGAGTAGCCTAAGAGTTGGCGGTGTTGACTAGCTCTCTTCCTTCTAGACTATAACATTAAAATTAGGGACAACTAGTTCAGATAGCCCTCGAGTAGCCTAGCACAAAATTCAACAAACAAACTTCCATTATTCATCTGCTTTATTAAACATGAAAGCGTGTAACCAATATCCAATCAGCTGTGTAATGACCACAGACCTCCACGTGGTTTATAAAAGGTTTGTGATGATAGCTGTTAAAGCTCAAGAATACACAACTTCAATGTTCAACATCTAAAATCACAGTTTTGCGGTAATAAACTACTTATTAATACTGTAACAACTGACTTCTTTGTATAGGTTATCTTCAACTGTTGGGCCCAGCATGGCCAGGTGGTTAGGACACTCGACTCGCAATCTGTGGGTCGCGAGTTCGAATCCCCGTCTCACCAAACATGCTCGCCCTTTCAGCCGTGGGAGCATTATAATGTGACGGTCAATCCCACTATTCGTTGGTAAAAGAGTAGCCGAAGAATTGGCGGTGGGTGGTGATGACTAGCTGCCTTCCCTCTAGTCTTACACTGCTAAATTAGGGACGGCTAGTGCAGATAACCCTCGTGTAGCTTTGCGCGAAATTCAAAAACAAACAATCAAGTCCGTTGATGCCATAAAATGTCTCAATAGGATAGGTGATTGATTCACTTAAATTTGCCCCCTAGTTGTTCAGCGGTAAATCTAAAAGCTTGTACATATAAAACTCGTGTAGCTTTATGATAAACAACAAACAAACACCCTTAAATTTTGATAGCATTATTGAAGTGAAATAAACTAAAGTTAGGCCTGAACAGTTTTATTTTAGACATATCTATATAAACAATATAATAGTACTGTCTGTTGTATGTCCATGTAACTAATTCGCAGGGTGTGGATGGATCTTCACCAAAATTGGTATGGAGGTTCATTAGGTTCATGCGGGGATACGTGCAAATTTTCAGTTTTGCGTTTTTTTTATGGGCGTTTTTTACAACTACTTCGCCTCCTGTAGATGGATCTTCACCAAATTTGATATGGAGGTTCTTTGGGTCCATGGGTAAATACATACAAATTTTCAGTTTTACATTTTGCGTTTTTATGGGCTATTTTTACCATACTTCGGCTCCTGTTGATGGGTCTTCACCAAATTTCGCATGAAGGTCTGTTTTCTCCATGCGAGGATACTTGGAAACTTGCCGTTTCACATTTTGTGTTCTGCGTTTTTTTACAACTACATATAAGGGAAGCAACTTTTCATGTCCTAAGATAACCTTTCATTAATCATGAATTTATATAACTTCCATCTAGGGGACGGGTACTCCAGCTAGTCAACAAATATATAAATTGGTGGATAATGGTGAAGACTTTTACCTTTTACATAAGATGATTTTATCTTAAAGAAAGCAACGTGCAAATTTAATTGTGTGTTATTGATAAAATTAATCTGTTGGGTATTAATATTAACAGAAATAAAGAACAGTTGGATATTAATCTTAACTGTTCTTTATTTCTGTTGGATATTAATTTTAACTGTTCCAGGCGCGTGTCCCACTTGGGTATTTTTATATGCTTCTCATGGACGATGTTAATAGAGACCGAGACCTAGTTTTGATCACCTCGTATGTGCTTTTACTGGAAACATCGCCGTATCTAAGTTTAGCAGATATTAAACCCCCACTATATTCACTTGGTTGTATTGTTTTTGTCAGTCTGGAAGATAGGAATATCTCGAGATCTCCAGCCTGAGCGCAAGTTATCATCCGGTACTCTCGTTTGTTTTGAATTAAGAAAATATTACTTTTCTCTTTGTCTACATTCTGTTCTTTTCTATTTCTTGCTCCAAATTCTGTCAGAGGCAGAGAATCCAGATTATACCTTTCTTGTCATAGCTGGCCTTAACTCTGAAGTTATAATACTATTTTATTTGTGCAACTTACAGTAACAGTAAGGCAAATATTATTCACAATTATTATCATTTCAACTAGCAATCGTTGTTTGTGTTATATGTTTTTATGTCACCGTAGAGAGACATACTGTTTTTCTATTGTTTCTTCTTCTTCTTCCAAACACTTTTCAATCGACCACCATTCCTTCATTTCTTGGTGGATTGACTTAAAACTTGGTGGGGTTATACCTTTGTCCATTTCTTGACGGATTGACTTGAAACTTGGTAGGGTTAAACCTTGGTCCATTTCTTGACGGATTGACTTGAAACTTGGTAGGGTTAAACCTCGGTCCATTTCTTAGCGGATTGACTTGAAACTTGGTAGAGTTAAACCTCGGTCCATTTCTTAGCGGATTGACTTGAAACTTGGTAGAGTTAAACCTCGGTCCATTTCTTGGCGGATTGACTTGAAACTTGGTAGGGTTAAACCTTGGTCCAATACATCCAGAAAACTTCTTCATTTTTTTATATTTAGGCGTTTTTAAGAATTTATTGGGGTCAAAGATAAAACAAACAAATGAATATTTTGAACTCCTGTGCTGTCATATTTACAACAATTATGATGAAAATTGGAACAGATATAACTTTTCATGCGCTCAAACATTGACATACCAAAACAAAAGTTGGAGTAGCCCATTTTGAGTTTTGTTAGGGAAGCCATAGCTCACAAAAACAAACAAACATAATTTGGGGTTTTGGTCAATTACTCGGTCATATTTTGATCAGTTTACGTAGGATTTACTACAAAGATATTTTCTTGCAGATCTTTCGATTTTTCGGGCGTCAAAATTGTCCAAGTTGAGACTGTTTGGCAGAGACATGTTGCATTCGCCCGCCATACCACATTCTAAAACATAATGAACCTTTAAGAACGTGTGTGTGTGTGTATAGATATGATACATGATGTAGTTCTAGCGCGCCAGAGTCTGTAAATCTGTACTGATATATATATATTGATATAGGTTCACTAGTTCACTTTGTAGTGATGGATAAGCCAAACAAGCTGTTGGCAGACCTACTAATCCCTATTCAAGTGTTGGCAGACAAATGTAAAAGTGATGACGATGACCCTTTCAACTGGGTAAGAAAAATTAAATTCTGAATCTTTATTAGAATTATTCGTTTTCCTTTAAAGTTGAAAAATGATGTATTATTTTAATAATACATGAAATCTTGTGTATATTATATATAGAGAGAGAAAAACAGTCTTACCCAAGTATAGTTGTTATTTTGTTGTAATTTTTTTGTGTTCAACTATACGGGTTTCTTAGCAGGGCAGGTGATAGGGGGTTGATCCTTCTGAAATATCTTTGCCCCTCCCAACAAGCTAATGCCATCTATTAATCTAATTTTATATTTGGCCTCATTATGTCTCATTGACCCCCTCCCCCAAATTAAGAAAAGCTGGAGCCGGGACTATTCGTGGGTGATCTCATGCTTCAGCTATATAAGCCCCCAGTGGCACAGCGGTATGTCTGCGGATTTACAACGCTAGAATCCGGGTTTCGATACCCGTGGTGGGGAGAGCACAGATAGCTTTGTGCCTAATTACAAACAAACTTCAGTTATATAAATATAAGCAAATACAAATTGGTGATAGGAAGAAAATACTTAGTAAATTATATGAGAAAAAGACGAAACGGGGCAGCATATCCATATTCTTCAAGGGTAAATGAAAAGGCGGCCACCTGTTTAAATTGAATGTAAACTTGTGATTCTCACGTGTCATGAACCACGATAGTGGTTCATAACAGGGATCTAAGAAATTTGCACAAAATCCTAATAGAATGTTCGGGCCAAAAGCACCTTAAACGGTAAATATTCAGTTCAAACAACACTTTAAAACCTTTAATATTGACTGCTAAGGCTGTACACATATAAAAAATGCACATAATAGCCCACATGTTATACTTAGAAGGAAAATAAAATCCGCTAAAAACGGCCCGTTTGTAATTCTTCTTCTTGTTATTATTATTCTTTAGCCAACCTACAACAAAAACGGCCAAACCTTTTGTAAAATACTAAATAAGGTACTGCTAAGGTCGTATGGGTATTGAAAAGTCCATTTTTTTCTGCTATATTTCACATAAGCTAAAAAATATCATAATTCTAACATAAACGATATTATCATTACCCCTTGAAGTTAGTTTCTTACGAATATCTGGTGTTCCTTTAAAAAGCTTAAATACAGGGTGAAACAGGAATTAACGGCCAATAATAGATTAACATTAGATGACTGTAACATGTAGATACTCAATGCTTTGTACACTGTACAGTCAGTGTCTTTAGGGAGCCAACCCCTATATTATGTATGAAGTGAAGGAGTAAAAAAAATGAATACACACAATATTAAATTTTATTACACACACATTCGTATAAAAATTAATTTAAAAGACACGGAGGTTTTTTAAAGCAATGTTTTAGAAGTTTATGTTTTATTTGAAAAGGCTGTTTGTCTAATGGTAAAACTTAATACTTGCTTAGTGGGATTTGTGTCTTAGTCTAGGCATATATTTGTCCATTGCTATGCATAATATATAGAGTAATTAGTTACATAGAAAATATAAATGGTCACCATGTTCTCAAACAAATCTCCATGGCAGTCTCTAGCTGCAGCTTAACATTTTACACCTCAAACTAATTCGATCAAATAGTCAATAGCTATAGTAAATCATCATGAACCGTATGAGATAGGTACTTGCTATGTTTATTATAGTTACAGTGTATGAAGTTAGCTACCATATCAAGTAATCCTTTGCAAATAGCTGAGCATAAAAAAGCCAGCAAGTAAGATATACAAAATTGGGAATTTAAACTTGCAAATAGGGATCGTAAAAAAGTAAGAAAGCGAGGATGGAGATGCTGTAGACATTATTTACTCAAACTACAAATCCCTATTTTGACTCCAACAAATGTGATTCTAGGTAACAGCGTGGAGCCAAAATAGAGGTTTGTAGTTTGAATAGGTAATGTCTACAGTTTCTCCAGCCTTGTTCTCTTACTTTTTTTACGATCCCTATTAGCAGGTTTTTAAATTTTAAATTTTTTATTTATCTTGTTATACATTCAAACAGGAAACACACAGAACAAACGATCTTAATTTTCATTATCTTTTGTAACTTGAAATTGAATGTATTTGTTCAAATAATATAGAAATAGTGGCTAATTCAAAAACACTACTATGGTAAATTTTTTGACTGACCCCCACCTACCCACACACAGTGACTCAGCGGTAAGTCTGTGTGCTTACAACGCTAAAAGTTCGGGTTTTGAAAACTTAAGTTGGCCGAAAGTTTTTATAGGACAAGATCTGCTTAGTTTATGTTATTTAACCGTGTATATATATATATCATCTGTATAAAATTTGTAACCAATGAAGTGAATAAAAGTTTTGTTTTTAATTCTAGTTATTTTTATGTGTAATATTTTTAGCTCAAACTGCGACCAAGCGGAAGGCTGTGTGTCCAAATGAGATGGTACAAGCAAGGTGAAAGTGAGTATTATTTATCATTTGATTGATTGTGTACATCTTAATGGGCCAGGTGGTTAGGGCACTCTATTCGCAGGTCGCGGGTTCGAATCCCCGTCACACCGAACATGCTCGCCCTTTCAGCCGTGTGACGGTCAATCTCACTATTCGTTGGTAAAAGAGTAACCCAAGAGTTGGCGGTGGGTGGTGATGACTAGCTGGCTTCCATTTAGTTGTTATTAATTTAAATTTATATTTCATCAAACACGTAGAATGTTGTTACGTTAAAGCGTCTTTCTTTTAGATACTAAACTTAACAGTACACTGTAGTTTCGTATTATACATGCAATTAATCATATGTGTGAAAGTCATCCTGTAAATTTATAGCGCCCCCAGTGGCTCAACGAAGGCTTATAACGCTAAAAACCGAGTTTCGATACCCGTTGTGGGCACAGCGCGGGTGGTCCAATTTTTAGCTTTGTGCTTATCAACAAAACAATCAAAAAAAACCTGTAACGGCCACTAGAACTGTATGGGCATCCCAGAGGGGACAGGCCGTCGTGTGCGAAAGGTATGGGCATCCCAGAGGGGACAGGCCGTCGTGTACGAACGACCTGCTTTTTAACCCTCAACCACATTTTTATAATCATGGATTGTTGTTGTTTGTTATTAAGCACAAAGCTACACAAAGGGCTATCTGTGCTGTGCCCACCACGGGTATCGAAACCTGGTTTCTAGCTGTATAAGTCCGCAGATATACCGCTGTACCACTGGGGCGATAATCATGGAAGTCCTCCCCAGTGGGTCAGCGTTAAGATTATGGGCGTAGGACGCTAAAATCCGGGGTTTGATTCCCCGCGGTAGACAGAGCGTAGATAGACCATCGTGTAGCTTTTTTGCTAAAACAAACAAATAATGGTGGCGGAAAATTAAATCTGTACAGTGATGCAAAAACTGAACGAAGCGTTCTGGCTTTATATTCGTGACCTCTTCCATTTGGTAATATCTATCTTTTCAGTCTGGCATGAACCCTGTTTGGACCAACGACCCCCACCCCTCATGACGACCGGTAAAAATTGAAAACAAAGAATTATAAATGGCTTAAGAAATGGTACGGTACGTCATAGTTAAAAAATCTACCATCATTGGACCTGTTTGTTATCATACAGTAAAGTTGGTTAATAATCTAAGAATCTCCTTGACCTATAATGGGCCAGTTAAGAAAATAGCGTTGCATATTCTCCATGTTATTAATACCCAACTTTTATTTTTTATAGTTCCATTGTTGGAAGACGAAATGAAGACAACTGGAGGAATCACGAGACGTCGAGTCGCGATAAAGCATCAGAAAGTTCATGAAGTAAACGGCCATAAATTTATTGCCAAGTTTTTCAGGCAGCCAACTTTCTGTGCCTTTTGTAAGGAGTTCATGTGGTAAGAATACGTAGCTAAAGATTATTATAAAGATATATGTATAGTTAATTTACAAATGACAACAAGAAATATATTCAATGTATATTAGCCTAAACTACGTTGCAGCTACTAATATTGGATACATGCAGATAACTAAGCCTCGTATGAATCTGTAAGCATTTTATAATACAACGTATATTTTAAAAAATTATATGTGATTTTATTTTATCCTTAATGACATATTTTTCATATTAATATTTGTTTCCGATTTTATCTGACGTAGGAGACACTTTTACCCTACAGGGGTGAAATTCTCAACAAAAAATAATAAGTAGAGGTACTCATCTGGGTGAAGTAGACCCGTTTTTGAAAAAAAAAATCTACGTGTAAACATATAAAACGAGAAAGCAGTTCAAATATGTCCCGGTACTAGTACCGCTTTAAAAAGTAAGTTCCGGTACTCGGTACAGGTGAGTACCAGCAGAATTTCATCCCTGGTTCTAGAGTTGGCATGTTTTTTTTATCGTAATTCAAACAATTTTTTACACTTGTGTTACCAATGATTTTGTAAAATACAGAAAATTTAATTATTTCTTCAGGGGTTTTGGAAAGCAAGGCTACCAATGCCAAAGTAAGTTGTATCCATAAACTATTACATCAAAGGTAATTTTACTATTCTCGAAGAATATACTTAGTATGATATAAAAAAAGAGTTATTTATAGTGAAACAATAGCTTCTTGATAAAGAACGTTTTATGTTCAGTACATTGTTATTAATCTAATAATTGAAATTAATAGTAAATGTTTATATTTTTTGTTCTGTTTTAAGTTCTATTCTGTTAATTAGAAATGTTTCGAATGTCAGTAGCTAAGGAGTCTCACCTGAGGAAAAAGGGTGCCAGGTAAAAGGGGGAGAGTTTGAGACCAGGGGGTTAAATAGTTCCATAAAGTGGCGCCAGAGAGCGGAGAGTTCCTTTATGTTCCACTAGGAAGCTGATAGTTCTAAAACGTGTCACCAGATGGTGTATTATTATGGTCGGAAAATAGGGGTGGCAGATAGTTCCAAAGTGTAGGACGATTAGGTCATCTATGATGCGTGGACTGTTACGTATTTCGCAAGCAAACCACCAGAGGGTGTTGTATATCAAAAGGCATCAACGTGTCTTAACGTGGGATTACATCATATTAAACATTTTTTTTATATCTTGATTATTTGTATAAAACATTTACACTTCATGGTTTAGATGTATAACATTATCTTACAGGGCTATCATTTTTGTTTTGTTTTAAGGGCTGTTTTTGCGCTTTTTACCACTGTTTTGCCCTCTGTAGATGATTCGTCACCAAATTTGTTATGGGGATTTACTGTTTCCGTGGAGAGATACATAAATTTTTCAAATTTTGCAGTTTTTATGGGCGTTTTTTACCAATACTTCGCCCCATACAGAATCCATATACTCTGTAGTTTAGAAACTGGTTTTCTCCCCCATTCGTGGATTGTTGTTTATTTATCCCTTCTGATTTCTGTATGAAACTTGCCCACTGGATAGTAAACTGGCTATAGTTATTGATTCTGATGTGTCCATGGATGCCTGTATGTGTGGTATATAAACACATCACCATTGCTTCTGTATGTGTGGTATATAAACACATCACCATTGCTTATCTAAAAAAGGTCGATATAAGACAATTTCTTCCCTGAATTGAAGGGGAGATTTTCTAAATGATCATCTTAGAACCAATCACTTTGGTCAGTGTCCAATATGTTTTATATGTGGGAACTTGTATTATCTGACCAAATATATGGTGGAACATGTTGGTATTGCCTAATTATTATTGTATTAGGCTGTTGATATTCTGAAGAAACATTGCATCTTTCAAATGAAGATCCGCTCAGAAGATGGAGAGGACTATTGATATTCCTCATCATCCGAAGATGATGATTTTACATAATCACTTGATTTATAATTAAACGTCCTTTTGAAGACCGTCAAATCCTGAAAAAGTCAATAAACGCTTTTTAATTTTTTAACATTAAGGTCAAAGTTCAATGATATATAAAATCCGTCCCATGAGAACACAGGAGGTCAGGAAGTTGTTAAATCAGAGGTCACGTAGGCGTTTCTTGACCAGAAGACAACGCACGGATGTTTGTGTCGACAGTACTTTCTCTGATGTCAGACTGCTTACAGTTTATTGTGTTGTTGTTTTTTCACTACTTTCTACACACGATATTGTGCTATTTTATTATTACAACTTGTGTAGAATTCCTGGAATATGAAATATACTCGTACTTAAACCTTGTATCATGCCACACAAAGACGACACTCGGTTGACCTTTAGAAAACAATGTAACAAACACAATAAAAATATTGCTACATTTAGCTGGACCAAAATGATTTTCTATGAAGTTTAATAACTCTAAATTAAATTAGTTTATGTAGATGATAAATGTTTGAATATTTAATGTTAATATGTAGAATGTAGACCAATATAAGAAGTAAAACACACAACTAGTTAATATACATTCAGTGAGATATCAAATTTTAAGTAATCAAACGTTTTGTTTATTGAAGTAAAACTATAAAGTTAGCCCTAACGATAAAACTAATGTTACAAACAGAAGGTATTGAAATAGTAATTCTTGTTACAGTAAGGTGATGTATATCTAGAGTTTGAATGTTTTACTCATAAAGATAAATTACTTTACGTAATAAATATTTATAGGCTAAACTTTAGGTTAACACAAAAAATGTCCTTTTCAGGACTTTGTAAGATGAACTGGTGTAAAACTTGAAGTACGATATATTAATTGGTCAATCTGTAATATACAAAATATTAATTATAAGTATACAAAAACTTTTCCTTTTCGTTTATTGAAGTGATACAGTAAAGTTGATCGTTTAAAGAACTACAGCAGCTTAACAAATAAGAACACCCTCTGGTGGTACGATCGTGAACCACATAATAAACATTTTCCTTCGCACATTAGATGAACTCATCGCTTCTTAGTTACATACGTTGGAACTATCCGTCCCTAGTGACGTATCATGGAACTATCCACCCTAGTAGCATGCCCTCTGATGCCACTTCGTGAAACTATGGCGTCACGTGACCTCCCGGTCTCAGGCTTTCCCCTATCGCCAATCAGGCGCTGCCATCCATTTTCCTTAGGTCGGATTGGTTAGCTATTAATATCTCTTCTTTTCTGTTAGCTAAAACGTTTCGGAAGAGTTTCTGTACAATGTAGTTTTATTCTATTAATGAAAACGTTTCTGAACTGTCCTATACAGCTTGCGAAGTAGCTGTACACAAGCGTTGTCATGACAAATTTTTAGGGAAATGTCCTGAAGCTGGAAAAGATTCTCAGAAGACAGTGGTGAGTAATAACAGTTTTGTAATTATCGTGATTCTTGTGTCAACACACACACACACCGAATATATTTACGATATATAAGACGAACTGTAGAATTGTATGATTTGATTAAGTTTTACTTTAACACTATCGTGACACTGAATAGTTAATATATATATATATATATATATATATACGATGACATATTCTGTGTTTGAGAGATTAGGCTACACAAATAGGCAGCACGTACTCTTTTGAATTTTCCTCTTAGTATTAAAACTTTTGCCCCCAGTAACTCGGCAGTATGTTCGAAGGCTTATAACACCAAAAAGCTCATTGTATAGCTTTGTGTTTAACAACAAACAAAACAAAATCAAGCCTTTTATACAAACAGAGTAGTGTTAGGTATGTCCGTTTGAAAATTCCAGCGTAAGAACGTTTTGTTACGTTCACATTGCAACAAAGATGTCGTGAATGTTTTAACTGAAATATTGTCATGGCAATTCTGGTCTCGGAGATAGCTGTAGCCTCTAGAACTGATATTTACCACCAGAGTGAATCTTAAATCTTTTTTTTGCGGACAACATGCATTTGGGATCAGGGACACGGCTGACAACGTAATAACAGTAAAATTTAACATTTGGGACGGGGACACTGCTGACAACATAAAAGCTGCGTAATTTAACATTTCGGATCGGGGACACGGGTGACTAGATAATAACAGCAAAATTTAACATTTGGTATCAGGGACACGGCTGACTACATAATAACAGTGTAATTTAACATTTGAGATCGGGGACACAGCTGACTACATAAAAGCAGGGTAATTTAACATTTTGGATCGGGGACACGGGTGACTAGATAATAACAGCATAATTTAACATTTGGTATCAGGGACACGGCTGACTACATAATAACAGTGTAATTTAACATTTGAGATCGGGGACACGGCTGACTACATAATAACAGCGTAATTTAATAAAATAAAATGAGCACATAAAGATAATTATAATATTAACCACAGACTTACCTTTCTATGTTGCGAAGCTACGGGTGCATCTGTGTTTGTGGAACAGTTCTATGATGTTGGGTGTAATATTTAGCCTCGGGTCAGGTTCAGCACTCATCCTGTTTCTGTCTTGGTGATGGAAATCCGTCTTGCACAGATACATGGTAGTAAAGGGAATCAAAAAACGAAATTACTTTGTCTGCAAGTTCTAGGTGCTTTCCATTTCGCCGGATCCAAAACTCTAATAGTGGACTTCTTTTCAACTCTGACCTTAATGCCACAAGAAAGCTCCAGTAGGCGCTCTTCTTCATTACTAGAGAAACCAGCAGCCATGTCACGATTTTAAAAATCTCTAAAACTTCTAAGTAAAGAACAAGTTTTCCCACTTTAGCCCCAAAACCAATTACATAGTTTTCGCCACCTCTCAAGTGGCACAGTGGTAAGCCTGCGGATTTATATCGCTAAAAACTGGGCACAGCACAGATAGCCCATTATACTTTGTGCTTAACTACAAACAACTGTAGAGTTTTAGATTTTACACTTAATTTATTCACATTCTCTCTGATGAAATAGCTACATTTATAAGGTCAGAAGTGTCGGAATCTATAAACTATTCCGTAAATATGAAGATTTACCCCTAAAGGGAGCTCTCGAACCACCAGAGTTCTGCGTATCACAGTTTGGAAACCTCTGTCCTATTAGAATGTCCGACTCATAACAGCTGTACACGTGTGTCTGTGAAGCTGAAATATTCTAATAAAGTATGCTTTTTTGTCCCATATTAAAGTCAGTGAGTCACTGCAGTGCTAATTTTAAAAATCTACTGTAAACGAAATGAAACACAGTATTCCTGTAAATCAAGAAAAAAGGGTTGGTGAGATAAAACTGTTTTTTTGTTGTTGTTGTTGTTGTAAGTGATGTTTTCCATAAGTCAATATAGATGGCGTTTAATATAGATTTATTATTAAAATATGTGAGCTTCAATTCGATTGTTTTTGTTGTTTATTTACATAAATAGGAATATTTGACAAAAGTCTCAATCTAAAATCTGATCGTTTCACTCATGAGCAATTAACTACGTTAAAAAACTTAATATACTTTTTCTGACATCTACTTTTGTAAAAGGAATTATATCTGATAAAGCTTTCAGTAACTCAGTGTTTAACATGTTATTTCCAGTACTTGAGAGAGAGGTTTAAGATCAACGTGCCCCACCGGTTCAACGTGTACAACTACATGAGCCCCACTTTCTGTGATCACTGTGGTTCTCTCCTCTACGGGCTGTTTCGTCAGGGTTTGAAGTGTGATCGTAAGTTAGTTTAATGATAATCGAACAAAACTTAAAGTTCAGAAAACTTATCAGATATTTTATTTCTGTAAATTTTTCTCGGATTACAAAAAAAGTGATATTTCGTAGAACGTTCAGCCCTAACCGTTTAAAATAAACATTTGAAAAACAACGTAACTGATATGAAGACTTTCATAGTTAGAGCACCATAATTATTTCTACATCTGTCTATGTTATATTAGTGTTTTCTATGATTTGTTCTAAGTTATTACACGTTTTTAATTTTTGTTTTCTCGAGAGAGATCTATTTTCTGTGTGGTAGAGAAACGTATCATATATTTCTCGAAGTAATTGATCAAAATATACAGTTAATAATGAGAAGAACTGAATGAAGTGTAGTAGGGCAGTTTTTGAGGATACAGTGTCACTTGATAGAACTCGTAGAGCGAGTTAATATAATATTTTCAAGGACTGACTGTAACCCAACAAAAAAATAAAAACTTAAACTCAAGTAAAGCAAACAATAGAAAGTAATACCTTAAACTCAAGTAAGGCAAACAATAGAAAGTGATGCCTTAAACTCAAGTAAGACAAACAATAGAAAGTAATACCTAAAATTCAAGTAAGGCAAACAATAGGAAGTGATGCCTTAAACTCAAGTAAGGGAAACAATATAAAGTAATACCTTAAACTCAAGTAAGGCAAACAATAGAAAGTAATACCTTAAACTCAAGTAAGGCAAACAATAGAAAGTAATACCTTAAACTCAAGTAAGACAAACAATAGAAAGTGATGCCTTAAACTCAAGTAAGGCAAACAATAGAAAGTGATGCTTTAAACTCAAGTAAGGCAAACATAAAAAGTGATGCCTTACTCTCAAGTAAGGTAAACAATAGAAAGTGATGCATTAAACTCAAGTAAGGCAAACAATAGGAAGTGATGCCTTAAACCCAAGTAAGGCAAACAATAGGAAGTGATGCCTTTTCTGGGTGAGTATACTGAACTGTTGTTGAACTAGTATAGTGGGCTACTCGGGTGTTTGTTTGAGGTAGAATTAATCCACAATCCTTCTTGAGTTTGTATTTTGTTGTTATGATCCTTGTTTCAAATAGTTCTATTACTACTTCAATACATGTGTGTTGTTTTGTCACATATTTTAAGCGTTTGAAATACTTCGGAGAGTAACTTACTGTCTCCCTAAATAAATACTTTCTTGCCCGCGTGAGCGTAGCTGGAAGTTTTTAGGTGGCGCTTTAACAAGAAAACTTAGTAATCAGTTGCATAAATACCGTTAATGTTGTGTTGCATGTCAATCAAATTATCTAGGATCATTTTCAATGTGTTTACCACCAAAATAAACCTTAATATTTATATACATTCAAACTTAAGTTGTAGTACAATTTTACGTTAATATCTTCACTACTAAATTTAATAGTCTATTAACGCTTCACGGAAGTAAAAAATGACAGGGACGAATTCTAAGTTCGGAGGGGGGAGGGCAAATGGCAGTTTCTGTGAGACATTTATAGTCAGATCTCATAACGTAGTGTCCGGTCCGGCATGGCCAGGTGGTTAGGGCGCTCAACTCGAAATCTGAGGGTCGCGGGTTCGAATCCCCGTCACACCAAACATGCTCGCCCTTTCAGCCGTGGGGGCGTTATAATGTGACGGTCAATCCCACTATTCGTTGGTAAAAAAGTAACCCAAGAGTTGGCGCTGGGTAGCGATGACTAGCTGCCTTCCCTCTAGTCTTACACTGCTAAATTAGGGACGGCTGGCGCAGATAGCCCTCGTGTAACTTTTCGTGAAATTCAAAACAAACAAATTACATCATAACATAGGACCCCAACTAAATTGGAGGGCTCATGCGACGTCCGCCCCTTCCCCTACCCCAAGCCTTTCTTTATATGACGTTTCTGGCTTTAGAGGCTTCATGATCACCAAGCTAGTGTTTTGAATGTTGTCCGACGAAAGTCTTTAGTAAGTGACAGTGTTCACATAATCTTAGTCATGTAAAGTACAGAGGATCACCACTAGGCATTTTTAAAGAATAAGCTTCCTTTTTCATTAGTTAATATTTGATTGTTAACAGGGAACAAATACTTCACGAAATGTGCTGTAGAAACCATTTTGGATATTTTCGCCAAAATATTGAGTATACGCAGTACAAGGTGGGGGATCATTAGTGTAGTTATTGATATTCTGAAATTGGCTTACTGTAAGTAGTCACTGAAAGATGTACTTTAAGAAGATGCTTCTCTAAACTTTCATCAACTTGTGGACATAAAATGCGTTTTTTTTTTCTATTTCTTACAGAATGCAAGCTGAACTGTCACCATAAGTGTGCTGGATATGTACCCAATTTGTGTGGGATTAACCAGAAGTTGATGTCGGAAATACTGGCGGTTGTGAAGAAAGGTTTGATATTTCTTAAAGTGAAGATTTTTTTTAGTATATTTCTGTGAAGAAGCCTTATCAATACTTGATTTTTTTACCAAGTGTTTGCTTCATATGATTTCTTGTATCGTTAATTAACTTAAGTTTTTTTTTTTTACAAATAAAAATAAATGAACATATACGGTAAAACACATCTAATAGCCTCATTTATAGAAACTTTAGAACTGAGTACTTTATAATTAAAACGTTTCACCACGTCTGGTCATGCTTTATTTTACGTGCACCTTAAATATAGCTCTGCAACATAGTTTCCATTGCAAAGGACTCCATTGTAAGACTGTCATATCCAAAACAACCCACTCCTCCGTGCATGCCTTCCATAATCCATCTAATGTATGAAAATGACTGTTTCCTAGTGCTTGTTTGAATAGTCCAATCACACAGAAATCTATAAACGTTGCATCTGGCGACTCTATCGTAATCTTATGCAATGACATTAATATGGCTGGTAATAAGCCTGGTATGTCTCGAAGCCCTATCTTGGTGGGCCAGTACCCTGTTGGCCACGTTTCCACGTAGAAATTCTTCTTTGTTATGTTACTTTATTATTTAGTATTACTTGGGGCCACTGACCTTTGTACAGAGATTCTTACCTGTTAGAAGACGCCACACTTTGCTTATCATGGTTGGGTACAACTTGTTGAAGTTCTCTTACTTGATAGTCCTGATACCCCAAGTTAATCCATATTTCTTTATTTTCCAATTCCATTATGTACAAGGGATATACCCGTCTTGGAAATTATAAATCCCCGATCTGAATACTTCGTTATGGTGCGAGTGTATGAATATCTTGCGTCGGAAAAGGCTGTTACATACCGTACCCAAAAGCGATCGATTTTCGCCCAGTGGCTCAATGGTGAGCCTGAGGGCACATATATTTTATGTGTAGCTTTGCGCTTAACGACAAACAAACAAAACGCGATCAATGTTTGATGGCATCACATTGTCTACGAACGCCAAACAATTTCAAAATGCAGTTATAATACGTGACATTCCACCGCATCTTTACATTGGCTGTAGTTGTCACGTGACTTGCTGATTTGTATATTCAAAATCATTTTAACATAATGTACTCAATTCTGTATAACATGAAGAGTATCATGAACTTTTACAGTTAACATTACAAAGCTACATTTAGATTTGTAGGATAAGAATTCAAAAGAAAAGAAAAATATTAAGATAAATTCAAACAATAAATGAAAGATTCAGTCGGTGATTTAAGTCGATCTCAAGTCCAAGTCTTCTTCTGTACATGCGGTTTCATTCACAAGGAATGTTATATATACAATAATTCATTAAAACACCTCTATAAATCTAATACCGTATACAAAACATCTCGTTAAATCACACACACATTATCTCCTATGTTCTAGGCTTCATACTATATACTCAGTCATTTATTAAACACTGCTACATGTATATTCTAATACCACAATCGGAACCTTGTACACGTGTTAGTTAAACGGCTAGGTCAGAGACCTCAAGGTTCAAATAAAGATGGCGCTATTTTATATTACTGCAGCAGCACCCACAGCCTCAATATCTTTATCCCACTCTTTGAACTGAATAATGGGAATGACTGTCATTTTTATAACGCGCCCACAACTGAAAGTGTTGGGCTTGTTCATCAGCGTCGAGTTTCTAACCCTGGACCCTTAATCCTAAGCCCGACACACTAACTACTAGGTCTACTACTTGAATCGATACTAATTCGTTAAAATAACAGCTTTAGGCTTAATATTACATACTCAATATTTCACTGAAGTCAAACACTGTGCTACTCAAACTGAACAAACCAGCTCAATGTAACTAAACAAACCCAACTCGAAGGATCAGATTAAAACATTTTTTTTAAATTAACGAACGAATAATTAAATCAGGGTTACATAATGCGAAGAATAAAATCGTACATAGCTATCGCTCTGTGGATCTAACATAAAGTAAAACGGCCCCCCTAAGACCTCACGACAACTTCTTAATCCAAATAATTTCTCCTGAAGAGATATTTATTGGCCTAAATATCCTTAATAGTCCATTAAATACATAAAAGAAGGCTTGGATGGTTTCTAATATTCGCGTAAAGTTAAACAGGGGATACATACGCGCTAGCTATCCCTATTTTATACACTACAGGGAAGACACGTAACGGCATTCATTGTTAAATCTTAGGCTATCTAAATAGTGGGATTTTACAGTTACTCCAAGTCACTGAGTGTGATTTGTTTTGTAGTCCCGGTACCCAGTCCATGCCTTGGGTCCACAGTTCGACACGTTAACTACTAGACCACGAGGAGTTAAGAAATAAATCATACCGAATATCGACTGGCTAGATACTGACACATTTAAATATGTGTACAAATAAACAAAGGCAAATTACTGTTATTTGTTCTAATTGCTTTAGAGAGAACGTATTGACATAGGTGTGGTAAGGGGCTCCTTTTATACAGCGCTAAAACAATTATGCCAAATATTTCAATTAGTTGAATATTTAACATCCTTTTAAACACATTTCAACAGATAGACTTTATTGAAGACCGACAATTATTTAACTTAATTAGCAATTAACTTAAGCTTCACATTTTATTAATTTATTATTATTCAACACAGATAAATGATCTATAATTCTCAAACTTTCTTATCTTTTTTTTTCATACTTAAAGCTATATTTATATGTTACAAACTGAATCGCGCTTTTCTCTTGTATCCAATCTACATTAAACCGTTGGATGCTTTTCTTTAACGTAGATATATGTCCAACAAGTGAGACCACGAAGGTAGGAGATACTCCAGACAAGTCTTCATCTTTTGTGCTTCCACCATCACCACTGAGCAGTGACTCTGAAGAGGATTGCGAACATGTGTGGGAACAAGTTAGCAGCGAACACTCTTCCTCTGAAACACGTGAAGTTCTGGAAGCTACAAACAACGTTAGTCCCAACGTTTCCAAACCTCGCCAAGAAAAAAAATATACGCTGAACGATTTCCGTTTGTTGAAAGTCCTGGGAAAGGGAAGCTTTGGAAAAGTAGGTTTAATGAATACAATCATCCTCTTTGAAAGAAAATAAGTAGCGTTGCGCGTACTTGTGAATTTGTGTTCTGTGTACGACGCTTTCAACTTTACATTTGAGCACACACACAAAAATTAAAAAAAAGGCATCTAAAAAGTTTGGGATCTTATAATGAAATAAAACTTTAAGCAGGATATATTTTTTTTTTGCTCAAAGCTACTGGAGGGTTATCTATATTAACTGTCCCAAATTTAGAAGTAATGGACAGCTAGTCAACACCACCCACTGCCAATTGTGGGACCATTCTAGTCGAATAGTAGGATTAACCGTAACATTATAACGCTTCAATGCCTGGAAAGGCGAGCACGTTCGCCTATAAGATTCGAAACCTACCCTAAGCATCCTAACCATCAACCCAATGTAGCAACAACGGTTTCACTAAAGCAAAATTTTATTATATATGGTTTCGTTGATCATAAGCGAAATTTTTTCTCTCTTATTTCATATAAAAAGAATGTTTAAAAAAAGTTTCACTAACCCGTTAAAAATGTTTTGAATACCCTAAGGTGCTCTTATTGACAAATTTAAAATAGTACCATTAAGGCCCCAAATATATCAATTTTCAAGAACCAATTTTGCTATCACGTCCTCGAAGAAATTCTATCGAAATTTAATTTTATAATTATTTTAAAAACTCATATTTACGCGTCGCATTTTTTAATTTTAACATTATTTTGTTTTTACAGTTTTTTAAACCGATAACAGGCGGCGCGGATTACTTTATATTATGTTGTTCGTTGTAAGTGCAAAATTATACAATAACCCATCTGTATTCTGCCTACTATTAGTATCGAAACGCAGTTTTTAGCGTTTTAAGCCCTCGGGCTTACCGCTGAGCAACCGTGCAGCTTAAAATATTATTTTAATTTCTGTGATAAATCCTCAAATGGTACTGTGTTGAATTAATTTACTGTTTACTAGTTGCTTGAGTATCGAGCATTTGGGTAGTGACGCAGAGAAACCAGTAGCCTTTGTTTGTTTTAGGGCAAAGCCTATCTGCTGTGTTAGCCGCGGGGGATCGAACCCCGGATTTCAGGGTTGTAAGTTCGTAGACTTACCGCTGTCCAACCGGGAGGACAAAATTAGCGGTAGTATTTTTATTTCTATTTTTCTATAAAGCTGTCACTCCATATCTGCGACATATACTGGTTTTAACTGTTTAAAATAAAGACATACAAACAGATACAACAGTTACTATACCGTAATGTGTTGAAATCATTTAAAAAAAAAGAATACGACACGTTTTGTCAAGTTGAGTTCTCAATATTTTTGTGGTTTCAATAAATTCAGTTTTTATCCTTTTTCACTTGTCATTAGTCGATACGAGTTGAAAACAGATGTCAAAACTAAACAGTTTGTTACTTCATCTGATTTGGTGAGGTACAGTAAGAGCCTAGTGATTAAACCAATGATTGTTTTGAAGTATAATGGATAACCGTGATCGATATTATTGACTAATGTCAGTAAAAATTTGGTAACAGTGCAAACTTTGTTTTCTTTCATTTTGAAAATATTTCACGAAAAAAAAAGAAAAAGGTTTGTCAGGAATTGAATGTTGAAGAATCTCTCAGTTTAATGATACAGATTTTCCGTTTCTCTGGCTATTTTACCTTTATGTATCATTTACAGGTCATGCTGGGAGAATTAAAAGATGATAAAAAGTTTTACGCTATCAAATGTTTGAAGAAGGATGTGATTCTGGAGGACGACGACATCGAATGCGTTAAGATAGAAAGAAAAGTTTTGACTCTTGGAAGTAGTAACCCTTACCTTTGTTCACTTCTTTGCACCTTTCAAACTGAGGTAATTAATAACCTTTAGAAACACTACTTACCTAAAGAGCACAATATCTGACACTAAGCCTAACCGACTTCACCAATACTACAATCACCATTAGCGAATTTAGAGACTCTGTATAGGGAGTACGATAGATAAACATGTACATATATTAATAAGTCAATGTGACTGACATATTTATAAACTGAATGAAGAGTTATTTACAACTAATATGTAGGATAAAAGTAAGTCCCTATAAATCGAATCCGTTTCTATCAAAAATTGTACCAGGGGGTTGTTCCTCAACATCCTCCCCTGGATCGTCCAACGGTTATCTCTTTCTTTCCTTCGTTTAAGCAATATAACAAACAAATTTATAGAAGATACTATATTATACTATTACCATTTTCGTCTAACGTTTCGAGATTTCTTTAAACATGGAATTATTCTCGAAACAACTCAAATTCTAAACATAGGAGAATTAACTCTCAAATATTCGGCTTGTTTTTATACTGCTTACTATTGGTGGGGTCCACATATTTTTACTTGTTGCAACACTCATTGTAACGACCTGATCATGAAAATTGCATGACATGAATTCACTAATTTTGTATGAAAAATTCTCAAAGTGCCCTGGTAGCAACAAGTGGTATTAAATATTAACGTGCCCTGGTAGCAACAAGTTGTATTAAATATTATATTGATGGTGTTTTTATTCCGTTTTTTTTTTTTGTTTGATTCACATGTTATTAAAGGCACATTCTATAACCAACAAAGTCAAGGACATAGAAGCACAAGTAGAAGCTTAGTAAATTGTTTGAACAATAGGTGGAGATCATGTGATAGTTCTACGGTTAAATCGCTATATTTGTGAACATGTCGAAAAAAAGGGGCAATATTCTCTACGTTTCCATGACAAACCTTTTTATCTAAAGGTCAAAGTAAACAGTTACTCGTACTATTCTGAAGAAACTACAAAAACGAAACTCTCGTGCCAAGGGTTTAAATTTATTCCCTGGAGTGGTTAATTTAACTTCTGCAAATGCTTTGAATAGTTTTTAGTAATACCAAACATATTAGTTCACATCTAATAATAAAACCTATGCTATACCTACCAGAGAACTGATGTTTGTTTGAAATTCGTACCAAGCTACTCTAGGGTTACCTGCATTATTTGTCCCTAATTTAGAAGCGCTAGCCTAGGGGAAAGGTAGCTAGTCAACACCACCCACCGCCAACGCTTGAGCTACTCTCTTACCAAAAAGTGGGATTGAGTGTCACATTATAACGCCCCCACGGTTGAAAGGGCTAGTATGTTCGGTGATGGGTTCGAACCCACGACTATGGAGAATTTATGTCTACTAATTTATTCTCTTATCACACAAATCTACCAATCTGTATAAGCTAATTGTGTAAGCCATGTTTTGTTTCACCCTTTAAACAATGTAGACTTATGTTGAACGAAATGTGAATAACCTCGTTTCTGACATACAGAGCCACCTATTCTTCGTCATGGAGTACCTGAGTGGAGGAGACCTCATGTTTCACATACAACAGTCGGGAAGGTTCGACCAAGAGCGGGCAAGGTGGTTTTATTAACGTTGTATTTGTTTATTCTACTAGTTCTTACCAACCTAAAACATTAACAACATTCATTTTAATTTCTATTGTCAAAATCAGTATCCTTTTACAGTTCTATTTTATGTAATGTTTATCTTTCTCAAATTCATATTATTTTACCACATTTTACTTGATTCCTATGATTATTTCTAACCTCTGT